GACCAGAAAATACCAAGTGGTAAAAAGCTGCTCACCATCATTTGTCAATACAAATACAGTGAGGCACAATCACAACCCTATCAAATCCAGGGCAACACAACGCCATATTCAGTCCAGTATATGGACAGACAGCACTGTCCTCCCTGCTGGTGGTTAGGAAAGAATAGCAGCTACCTTGCAGAACACCTGGTGGTTCTCTGTTAAAGTACCCTAGAGTCAGTCTCTCTCTTTTACTCAGAGGAGCTGAAAACTGAGTTCTACCAAAAGCCTGCACACAGATGTATATAGCAGCTTTATTCATAGGTGCCAGAGCTTGAGTAAAACCAAGATGCTATTTCAACAGGTAACGAGTGAGGGCTTAGGCACATCTACACTGAGTGATGCCACCAGGACTCCATTCATGACACACTGGAAGAGATCTTAATGTTATTTTACCATGTGAAGGAAGCCAGACCCTTCAGGCGGCGGCCTACTACATGATGCCACTTAAAAGATTTTTCTGGAGAAGACTTTAAAACTATAAAGGGTGAACCAGGCACCAGTGGATCACACCTGTAATCCTAGTGACTCAGGATGCTGAAATCTGGAGGGTCACAGTTTGAAGCGAACCTAGGCAGGAGAGTCCTTGAGACACTTGTTTCCAACTATCCAGCAAAAAGCCAGAAATGGTGCCGTGGCTTAGGTGGTAGAGTGCTAGCCTTGAGCAAAATCAAAATCTCAGGAACAGTACCTAGGCACATATGTGTACACACACACACACACACACACATACACACACCACCCCCACCACCACCCAAAAAAAAAAAAAAAAAACTACACAGGTGGAGAGATGGGCCACATTTGTGCTGATGAAGCTGCTGTGATTTTATTTTCTAATTATTAAATTACTTTAGTGTTAAAAAATATTATGAGGCATATGAAGAAACACCCCATTCATTGAGCTGAGGAGGGAATGAAGGGATGAAGAAACTGTACCTGAGGAAGCACAGATGGTGAGCTTATTACACAAAGTTTTTACTTTAATAGATTTATAGATTTGAGAGGTATGGTCTTACTAAATAGCTCAAGTTGCAACTACGTATCCAGGCTGGCCTCCAACTCATGTTTGGAAAATAAGCATGAGCTACCATTAGCCTTAGACAGAGACCTTAAATCAGTTGCTTTACATATGCTCAAAGAGCTAAAGGAAATCACAGATGATGAACTAAATATGTGAAAAACTTACCACCAAATAGAAAATAACAATAAATATAAGTAAAAGTTATGAACCTAAAAAGTGAAAAATTCACTCGAACATTTCAACAGCAAATTTTATCACACATGTGAATTCTATCAGTAAATTTTAGCATAGGTGAAATGAAATTATCTAGTCTAAGGAAACAAAGTGAGCAAAATGAAGACATCATCCAGTTTATCTAATAGTATATATTTTGGGAGTCCTAGAAAAAAAGAATAATATGCATTTCTATACTCCCCAAATTTCATAGAAGACATGAACCTAAATAGTCTAAGATATTCAATGATGTCTTAATAGGAGATATTATCATCAAAGCATCAAGAGCTGAAGATAGAGACTCTTGAAAGTAGTAAGAGCAAAAGTACTAAGATTTATAACATACAAGGAGGGATCATCAGTCATCTTAACTTCCATTTCTCATTAGAAATCATGGTGAATAAAAATAACTTATCTCCATGAGCCAGGTATGGTGGCTCAGGAGGCTGAAGTGGGGCAATCATGTAAGCCTAGATGTTCGAGACAAACTTTGATAACATAGTGAGACTTCATTTAACAACAAAAAATAAATTAAAAAAATAAAAGAAACCTGTTTTCAACAAAACATTCCACTAAGAAAAAAAAGAACAGGGGATGAGGGTAAAAACAGTACATAAAAGCATCTACCATTTTGACTCCATAAAGGGAACAGTCAAATTTGACAGGAGAGACTATATTATATTCTGAAGAGAAAAAGAGAAAAAAAACTATCAGGAATCACAAAGAGGTAGCAAAGTAATAGAAAAGCACAGAAGAACAGACAACAGAGAAAAGTAGCAGCTACTTCCAAGCTCTGTCCCAAGGGGAAGGAGAATCGAAACATGCATTCACAGGTAAACCAAATGGCACTAGTAACAGACTAGAAATTCTAGTTCCGAGACAAACCGACACTTCCTAAAAGCTTTATACCCAGAAGATTTGGAAAGCCAGTGACTACTCTGGTAAGGAAAACTGTTCTCTGGTAGATAGAGACTGTCTCTCCCTTAACCATACCATTTTGAGGGTCTATTATTTGAGATTAAGACACTCTGTGGGCTTGAAAACAAGGAACAGTCACAGTTCAAGGAGTTTTGGGAATAAGAGTCTTCGATATTTGTCTAGATAAGAGGCAGTCACAAGAAGTGATTGTGGAGACAGAGGAAGTCTAATGTGGTGCCACATAAATATTCAGGCAATGGGAAATATCCAACAGCAAAACGGTGCAGTGGATTGGAGACCCTTCTCAGCAAGGTATGAGTCCTATCTTGAGGCTTGTAGTAGAAACAAATACTATAGTTGCATACAGAATTTGGCCTCTGGAACCTGTGTCCTAGGCTTCATGTGTTGACAACTCAAGTCAGTTCCCTCTGAATTATGTGAAAGCCACAGCTTTCCCCTCTCCCACCAGGAAAGTAAACTGTTTGACAGGGTCTGAACATACTAAGGCATGCTTTCCTGAATATAATGAAACATGCTCCTGTGAACTACATCCCATCATGTACTTGCATCTAGGTGAATGGGGGGAAAGTATGCAAAACATAAAGAAAACATCACGACTGGAAAAGGAAGTCCTTTTCTATGTGCATTACTTTAAAAAATAAATTGGTTATGTTCTCTAATGAAAAGACAGAGATAACAGAATGAATCCCAAAACACAGCCACTCGTAAGTGTCACTTTAGACTTAAAGACATGGAATTTCAAAGTAAAACCATAGAAAAGTAGTACCAGACAAACAGTACCCTATCCTAAAGACAAAACAATTTCAATTTAAACATGGTTATAAGAGTCAACGGAGGAAATTTTACTAAAAAGCCAATCCAAGAAGACAAAACACTTATGAACATATATGCACCTGACTATAGAGCCTTACAAATGACAGAACTGAATGGAGACAGACAGTTCCACAGTAACAGCTGGAAATTTCAATACTTCCCCCTTTCTGACAGGATGTTATTATGTAACCTGTCCTCAAAGTAGGTAACCAAAGCTAATCCTGAACTCAATAACCTCCTGCCTCTGCTCCTGATTGCTCGGATTGCAAGCATGTACCATCACACTTAGCAAATATTACACTTTCAATATGGATTTAAAAAAAAACTAGAAAGACCAATAAGAGCAGTAAGAACATAGAAAGCTTGTCCAACTCTGATCAACTAGTCCTAAAACATATTCAGAACATATCACAAGTTACCAACCAATTTCTTTTATGAATATAGATGTAAAAGCCCTCTTCAAAATTCAAACAAACCAAATGTAGCAGCTTATGGCATGACCAATTGGGAATTTTCCCAAGAATGCAAGCATTCAACATGGTTCAACATATGCTTATCAATAAAGATATACTAAAATAATAGAAAAGGGGAGGGGAGAACCCAGCTGATCATCTCAATAGAAGCTAAAGCATTTGGCAAAACCCAAAATTCTTTCATAATAAAAATCATCAAAACAGAAAAAAAGGAATATTCTCAGCATGACACACTTCATATGAAAAATTCAGTTAACATCTATCTTGCCCACCCTTCTCTCTTGTCTCTTTCATAACGTTTTTCTCGATGGTGAAAGTTAGGTAATGTTCCTCCTGAAATCATGAAAAAAAAGATACCTGTTTTTGCCACTGTTATCATTAGATTTAACAACGATTTTGTGTGTGTGTGTGTGTTGTTACTAGAACTTAAATTCAGTGCCTGAGCACTATCCTGAGCTTTTTTGTTTAGGCTAAAGCTCTGTCACTTGAGCCACAGCTCTACTTCCACCTTTTTTTTGGTAGTTAATTGGAAACAAGAGTCTCATTTTCTTGAGGCTGTGAACCTCAATCCTCAGACCTCAACCTTTTGAGTAGCTAGGATTTACAGGCATAAGCCACCAGTGCCCAGCATGAATGAATTTTTTAAGTAGCATAGGAAACAAACAAACAAAAAAACGGTATGTTAAACTACATCAAAATTTAAAATTGCTGGGTGCCAGTGGCTCATGCCTGCAATCCTAACTACTCAGGAGGCTAAGATCTGAGAATCACTGGCAGCAAAGTCCATGAGACTCTTATCTCCAATTAACTACCAAAACCCAAGCTGTGGCTCAACTGGTAGAGCCACCAACCTTAAAGAAAAAAAACTCAGGGACAGCAATCAGGCTCTGAGTTCTAGCCCCAATATTAGTAAACACATACGTACACGTACACATACATACATACATACACACACACACACATACACACACACAGCAAAGTTATCTCCCTCCCGGCTTCAACTCATCTTTTCATCCCTCAATAAGTTTATTTTTAATAAACCATGATGTAGCTTACCCTAGCTTCAATTTTTCTATCATCCCAAATTTTGATTTACTTTTAGAACTTCATATTGTATTACTTATGTTGTGTTTTTGTGTGATTATAGGCACTTCAAATATTTCTTCAAAGACAGGAAGAGTAGAAAAATAAACAAAAACCAGGTAATGCTGTTCAGAATAGATGTTATTCTGAACTTGAACCTCCCACGTCAAGAGTGTACTCTGTAGATAATGAAAGTCCCCTCTCATCCAGAGGGAAATTGGTAAATGAGTGTTGATGAAAAGAATGACAACTCACTGTACTACACTTTCTCACTCTTTTCCATTTAGTAAGAAATGTTATAGCGCGGAAAAGGGCAAATGGCTTTTTTTTCACCTGTGTGCAGAGATTAACTATTTAGAAGTCCATGAACAAGGCAGTCAGATGCAATTTGCAGCCAGATGCAATTTGTAGCCATGTACCTGGATGTGCTTCCTTCTGGTGTGCTCAGAAGTCATTTGGGGATGACTTATGTTCAATGCTTTCTTGGTATGCTTGCAACGCTTCTCAAGGTATCTCCTCTGTTGGTTGGTGATGCTGCTATATAACTTAATTTGCCTGGGTGACAAACATACTCTTTCATGGCCAAAAGCTTGAATCAGTCTTGCAGTGTCAATGGTGGAAATGGAGCTACTCCTTTCATGCAAAGTAACCTCTCTGTCTGTTTGGGTTAATATATCTGAGTCACGAGGAGAAGTGGTGGTAGAAAGAATGTTGGTGGTAGTATCTGTGAGTAGCTCACTTTCCTCTGAAGGCCTAGAATCTGAAGAAGTGTTGCTAATATAATTTAAATAGGGTTGTTTTTTCAGAATATATTTATCAAATTTAATCTGTTCGATCTTAATCTGACTAGACTTTCCAGTCTGATGAGAAGCTACCTTGCTTTTTCTAAGATCACCTATGTTTTTATGGCCTTTTTCTAGACTTCTATAGCGCTTCTGCTTCTGAAGTTTTTTTTTCTGCTGTTTATTATTCCATTCCTTAAAGTCTCGTTCCCCTCTGCTATCATCTAGTGTACTTTCTGAGACCTGAAGAGAATGTGTGATGGGATTCTGAAGAAGTTTAGCCAGGCGATCAAGACGCTCTATCAAAGACAGTTCTTTCTTGTCACTGACATCAAGTGGCTTCTGTGGTTTCTGTTGCTTCTGTCGCTCCTGGTACTTGTTCCAAAGTTCATTCAAACTTGTAGTGGGCTGTGTTGTTAGTTCTTTGGTAACTTTATGGTCCTTTTTTGGATCATTTATTTGTCTTTTATTTTTTAGATTATCTCTGGCCTGACTTTTAGAAGCATGTGCCTCTTCATTGTCTCCCAGATTCATATTGATGCTGAGGCTCTTTCCTCTGGAGTAATCCATCTTAGTCTTGTCCACACTTTGATAAGAAAGAGGAAGACAAGTAGGTTCTCTAAGTTTATTTGAATGATGCTGAAAGAAATCTTTCCAAGACTGCCTCATAAGAGTACTCTTTCCCAAAGACTCATGACAAAAGTCTTGATCGTTTGGTAGATGCACTGGATGATGAAAGTAAAATTTGGCTGATCTGAAGACAGAATGAGTAGTATTTTCAAATTCTGAGTGACACTTGGATTCTGTAAGAAAAAAAGATTGAATAAACTTAGGACTATTTTCATTCCCTTCAGAGAACTGTTTGTTTAATTCCTTAGGTATAAGACAAAAACTGAAAAACTTACATAAAGTTTCAGAAAATTCATTCTTATCAGATACTTACTGTACTTAGCTATCAGACTGGGAAGGATCAAAATATCTCGATTCTGAGTTGAACTATGCTATTATATGACAGAGCTATGAGACTTAAAGTCACATAAAGAAACTTTAGTCTACAGATAAGCTTAGCTGCTGATTTACTCACTACTCACTATTATACACAGTGTTATTACATGTATTCTATTTGTTTTTTAAAAAATTCACCCTATTAATAAAACTGAAATGGTTATGGGTAGCCCAATTTTCAGCTGAAAAACTAAAGACTTTATTTTCATCAGTCATTAAATGGATGAAATAAAAAATATTTTTATAAATTTTTAAAGCCTTCTAATAGTTCTTTACTATGAACTACCTCCATTTATTTTCTCAAGACTTTGTTATGGTCAAATATGCATGGCATAAAAAAGTTAAAATCTTCCAGCCTCATTATCATCATCAACTCCTCCTCCTCCCCCCCCCTCCCCCTCCCCCTCCTCCTCCTCCTTCTTTTTATTATTATTATTCTACAATAAATAGTCATTTGGAAATGCAATAGTATTTTACAACCCGTTATAGTTTCAATACTTGTGCTCTCTGAAATTCATATTACAATTTAATCCCCTAGGCTATCGTAGTAAGAGATCTTGCCTTAAGTAGGTGATTAGGTTAAGATGGCTCCACCTTCTTGAGTGGGATCAATACCCTTTAAAAAGGACTTAAAGAAGCCATCTACTATGTGAGGGCATAACCTTTTTTCTTGAGACAACAAAGCACTGAGGTGTCATCTTAGAAATAGACTAGGCTCATATTAGACATCAGATCTGCCAACACCTTGAACCTGGACTCCTCAATCTCCAGAACTGTGAGAAATAATTTTTTATAATAATTTTATGACAGCAGGATTGGATGGATTAATACTAAATTAAATACACTAGAGCCTACTTCATCTCCTTTGGTTCTTTGATCTATTATACTTCTCATATATTTAGGTCATCCCTCTTTATTGGACCTTTTCCAATTACAACTTTTAGTACATAATAATCTCAGAAAATCTTCATATCCTTTCAAGTATTAGCCCACTACTCTGCTTCTTTTCACAGTCAAGCTGCTAAGTATAATACAGATATTTTTTTAAAATTCTCTTTATCCCAATTTTCTCTTCAAATTACTCTCCTAAAAGGAGCTATACCACTAGACTAAAACTGCTCTACTAAGATCAATGAACCTCCATATGCAACTAACATTAGATTATTTTTACAGATCTCAAGACTTCTAGAATCAAAATATAAAACATAGAAAAATTTTTCCTCTTCTTGAATATGATTTTTCAGGCTATATTGTTCATTTTTCTTTTCTTTATTGTTTTGGTCCAAGACCAGGACTCAAACTCAGCACCTGACACTTTCATTCACTAGCTGGCACTCTATCAACTGAGTCACATCTCCAACTCTTCTTTTTCTTTTACAAGCTGTGTCACACTATCCCCTACAGAGCTGCAATATTTTGATTCTCCATTTCATTTTTTGTGTATGATTAAAAAAAAGTCTTTACAGAAGTAGCAATTATTTTACAAACTAATATATATGTCCACATAGATAACACAGCATTAAAATGCTGTTTTTAAAAAAAGGAAAAAAAATCAAAAAACCAAAAACGAACAAAAAGCCTTTGTTTAAAGCATGAAGCTATAGCCTCATCAGAAGAAAGAAAAAAGAAAGAAAGAAAGAAAGAAAGAAACCAGTCCTCACACATACTGGCACACACATCCCAATCCCATTACCTGAAATATCTATTTGTAAGGATTCTTTCTCTTTCGGCCTGGCTTCCTTACAAACAGTCCTTTTAATATGGATTTCCTCTTTCTGTTTAAAGGCTTTAGTTTCTGGTAGGTTCTCAATCTTCTTGTCTTGTATTTGAGCTGAGTCCTCAGCAGTGATTGTCTCACTAGAATCTAAAAGAGGAAATAACACATTAATAAAGACTGGATGGTAACAAAAATAGTAAAATGCTTCTACTATGTCAAAAGTATTGTTACTGGTATGGAAAAATAAATAATGTGTTCAATCAAAATGTGTTTAAAAAACAATCTAAACTGGAGAACAAGTAAATCAATAAATCAATTATATGAATGGATCAGACAATTCCCATAAGAAACAAGAAAGACCAATAAATACATTTTAAAAATTCAACATTGCTAGTCACCAGGAAAAAGCAAATCAAAATAGTACTGAGATTCCATAAAATAGCAATAAAATGTTGATAAGGATATGGATCAGAGGGGGAGGAATCCTTCCTTATATACTCTTGGTGGGAATGGATAATGAATGCAAATAAATAAGGGATGCAAATCAATTTTTTGGAGTTGCCTTAAAAAAAAAAGCAACAGGCCGGGCGCTGGTGGCTCACTCCTGTAATCCTAGCTACTCAGGAGGCTGAGATCTGAGGATCGTGGTTCAAAGCCAGCTCGGGCAGGAGAGACTGTGAGACTCCTATCTCCAATAAACCACCAGAAAAAACCGGAAGTGGCGCTGTAGCTCAAGTGGTAGAGCGCTCACCTTGAGCTGAAGAGCTGAGGGACAGCACCCAGGCCCAGAGTTCAAGCCCCACAACCGCCAAAAAAAAAAAAAAAAAAGCAACAGAGAACTCCATGATCCTATTCCTAGGTATTCACCAAAAGGAATATAAATCATACTCCAGGAACAACTCTAGTCTCAACAGGCAAACTATGGAATCAACTAGGGAGCCCATCAACACATGAACAAATAATCAAAATATGGTATATATACACAAAGGAGTTTTATTCAGCCATAAAAAAAATATGTAGCTTCGTGTGATCTCACTCTGTGACCAAGTCTAGCCAGTAGGATGTAAGTGGAATGATATATGCAAATTCTGAAAAAATCCTTATAAATAAATATGCTTTTGTAATACTGTAGCTAATAACTACCATTTGATAATGAAAGCCAAAAATGTTTAGGCAACAGAAGAAAAAGACTATTGTTCCCTGCTACACTGCCAACCTTGAAGAATGTCTGTCTGAGTTTTTATAAGAAAGATATGTTCCTGTTTCTTTCCTTCCTTCGTTCCCTCCTTCCCTCCTTGCTTCCAGCCAGATCTGGAAGCAGTCTCTGAACTCTACCACTTTGAGCCACAGTTCCACTTCTAGTTTTCTAGTGGTTAATTGGACATAAGAGTCCCATGGACTTTCCTGACCAGGTTGGCAGGATCCTCAGATCTAGCCTCCTAAATAGCCAGGATTACTGGCTCCTGGCATGCTTCTGTTTCTTCAAGCTCATGTTTTATTTTTGTTTTCATCTCAAAGTAATTCTAATTTAAATATACTATCATGGGAATTTTTAATCAATATAATCCTGCTAAAGTAAAATAAAGAGCTAGTTAATAGTAAATAAATTAAATTCCTATAGCTGAGGTATAAAAGTTATTAGAGTATCCATATCTTGTAGTATCAAATTTATTTTATCATTAAAGAGAAAAAGTTCACTAAGCACATTTCTGACAGTAAGATTAACATGTTTCATATTCAAAAGTTCTCCAGGAATATCCTGTTCAGTTACCTTCAGTGTCTTTCTGCAAACATTCATTTCCTTCAGGCCAGGCAATCTTAGTCACAACTCTTTGACTAAATATCTCTTCTTTATGTTTACCTGAGAGAATCTCTGGCACTTGAATTGGAGCCTCTGGAATAATGACATATTAGATCCCATAGAGAAGGAAAATATAATAGATACAATATGCAATATGTCTTCACCCTCATAAAATCCCAAGCCCTTTCTAAGTTAGGAAAAAATCGCTTCAGCAGGCTTCATTATATAAAACCATGACATGAATTGGTTAGTTTTCCATATTTTTCTAGGTATAACAAGTTATATAAAAATTTTTCTCATAGTTTGATGCAAAAGTAAAAACAAATAAAAGATCAGGTTGTTTTTCTCAAAGAGAAAAGTAGACAAACACTTTCCGGCCTTACAAAAACAATCTGTTGTCATTTATGGAGCCAATTTTGGTATTTCACTTAATCGAAGAAAACACCTCATCTAGATTTCATTTATAGAATTTTCATATAATTTTTTAAAATTTCATGTAGTTATGTTATTTTGAATTTGTCTAAAATTTTGTTTCTTATATCTTTCTATTTCTTCTTGGTCACACTTCATTTTTTTATCTCTATGCTTATTTCTCAACAAAGAAATAAAAAAGACAACAGAGATTACTAAAGCCAAAGAATCAGTCTAAATTTTACTTATCATGCTCTTTTCTTTTAAATTCATTGTGCTTTCCTACTCAATATGACTTCAATACTGCTAATCTATTTGATCTAAATGTATTCTGAAATATTTAGAACACTTCGCTAAATGTTAATAAAACATTTCGGGAATGCCAAAGGTATAAATAACATAATAAATATGAAAGTATTAACAACTAACCTTAATAAAACATTACAGACATATGCCATCAATAATGTCATTTTCTCTTCTCAAATCTTGTATTGAATTTAGAGCTTATCAATCTCAAGGATTGCTTATTAACTTTTATAGATTGCAATAATACTAACCAATTAATAATTGTTAATAAGGTATAATATTCAAATGAATTTCCTATAAAAGGTTCAATATCGTATTCAATGCTGATAATTTAGATTTAGCCAAATCAATATATGACTCTGATTTTCAGTGTTATTTTACTATATTGTTATTCTACTATTTTATTACCATATCATCTCACCATATCATCAACACAAGGTTGTTTCCAAGTTTTTTACATTAAAAAGCACTACAATGTAGTCTTATAAAATTTACCATTGGTTGTATTATTGCAAATATTCTTTGAGTCTGGTAGGTTGGTTTTGTTTTTTGTTTTGTCAGTCATGGGGTTTGAACTCAGGGGCCTGGGCATGGGCACTGTCTCTGAGCTTTTGTGCACTCAAGGATAGCACTGTACTATGTTGAGCCATTACACCACTTCTAGTTTTCTAGTGGTTAACTGGAGGTAAAAGTCTCAAGAACTTTCTTGCCCTGTCTGGCTTTGAACCCTAATCCTCAGATTTCAGTTTCCTTCTCAGCTAGGATTACAGGCATAAACCACCAGCACCTAGCCCTCAGTCTGTTTTATCTGTTACAATTTATGTCTTTTATGCATAAAAGTTTTCATTTTAACAATGAAATGTTGTGCTTTTTCTCTCTAGGGTCTCATGTTTTGTCTTGCTTAAGATATCATTAATTTTCTTTCAGGTGACTGTTTCTAACACATTTATAAGATTATTTTTTTGTTGCTTTGTATGTCCCTCCCCCATGGTATAACCCCTGCTTTCACTGTATTTTGAGGTTGGTATAATTTGTGGAGGGGAAGGGAAAAAACAAATCATTTAAATAGGGATACAGGTGGATCCATTGCAACAATGAGATGTTCAAGTCGTTATGTGGAAAAACGAACTTTACAACTTTGGTTGGAGGGGGGAAGATTAGGGGGGGCAGGGGGAGGATGGGAAGGGATGGGAAGGGGAAACAAAGGAGGAGACTACAATGCTTGATAAGAAATGTACTTATTATCTTGCCCATGTAATTGTAACCCCTCTGTACAGTATTTTCACAATAAAAAAATAAAAAAGATATTGTTAATTACCCATGGTCATAAAGATAAACTATCTAAATTCTTAAAAGTTTACGTTTTCCTTTTACACTGAATATGCCTGGAATACATTTTTGTTCATCATGAAGTTGGGATTTGATTGCTGTCCAAGCTCTAAAGAATAGCTTATCTTCATTTCTTTATACATTGTTCTGCCCTCTCTGTATATAGTAAACTTCTACATTCATGAATGTATTTTAGGGTCCCCTTGTTTCACTTTTCGGTTTACTCTTTAAGAAATGATACTTTAAATAAGCTACATACAGAATAAGTTTTGATGTCTGACATAGTAATTCCCTTACCTTATCACTTCCACATATTTTTCAATTTCCCATAAAAGTTACACTTATCTACCTGGCAAATTCCGTGCAATAGTCTACTGGAAGGAACCACTGGTGCCCAGCTCTTTTTAAAGGATTAGATTAATATCTTACTTTCTTCTATATGCCCAATATAATATCAAGAAAAAAGAGCACATAATGAATCAGTAAAAGGTTAAAGCCTATACAATATTCTCACCTAAATGAAAAGGGGGACAGGTCACAGAATACACAAAGTGTCATTACCTGCATCACCTTTCTGAAAGGGCTTTTTTCCAACCAAGAAGGATGCCTTAGTTACTGCTCTTTTACTGTAGATCCCTTCTTCATGTTTAATATTTACGGTGTCTGGGGGGTTATCATCCCTTGTGCCTAGCACTTGAGCTGGAAAGTCTGGAGCAACAGCATCATTGGATCCTATAAAAAAAAAATGTAGGGGAAAAAAATAAACACTAACACAGACTTCAAGTTGAGAAAGAAGTCTAAACAAATTGCCTCTCAGAAAACATCTATGAAAGAAGCACTGTGACAGGAGTGTTACAGAGTAAATTAGGCTATGTCAACCAAACTAAAGCTATCAGACATTTGGAATAAATGCCAGCAAAGAAGCAAATGACATCAAGACATAAAAAGTGAAGCATTATTTTCAGGAAGAAGGCTACTTCCAGCATTCCAAAAAGTTTTTGAAGGAAGAAGAAAATAGATTATACCTTGAGGATTGAGAAATAGGCTTTTCTGGTCTGAGGAGAAAGGTAGAAAGGCATGAGAACTTGCCTAAAAATAATTAAAGCAAAAAAGGGTTGGAGTCTAGAAAGTATGAAGCCCCAGGTGAAAAGTTCATTATCACCCCCTTCTCAAAAAAAAAAAAAAAAATTCTGTAGTAACTGCAGAACTGTCTTTTACAAAATAGATTTTCTTTTCAAATGCAGGATTCCTTGTATTATAGGAATCTGATCTGTAACATAACCACAACAGATATTTTGTTCACCTTTCATAAATCTTCTTCTTCTTCAACCACCTTTTTAACAAAAGGCAATTCTACTCATCCAGTTTCTCACTCTAGAAAACTAAAGATCATTCTTCACACACCCTTATCCTTTTTCTTTCCATATGCTATCACCATATGCTATTTCCAAACTAAAAGGTAATTCTATTAGTTACATCACTTTAACCCTAAAAGCTTCCACCTCTGCTACTGATTAGTGCAACAGTCTTCTAATCAACATGACTTACTTTATTTTTCTTTACATTGACTCTGACTTTTCATCAACAAGTCATGTCATCACACAGGCAGAATCAATCTTACAAGTATAAATAAAATTGCACTTGCTTACTAAAGTCCAAATGCTTTAATATAGTTTACATGCCTGTGCATGATTTTTTATCTGTCTTTAAACCATATTCACCCACTATTCTAACATTACCCTGCTAAACACATCTTATTGGAGGGTCACTGTTTTGGACTAAACTCATGCAAAAGACAGACCAAAATGGAGTCACTTATTTTAAGCACCATGCAATCAAACCAAAACTTCAAATAGGAAAATATTCCTAAATTGTCCCATTTTCCATTAAAAGTGAGGTTTGCAGCAACCAACTGAAAAAGACCATTTTAACAAAATGGGAAGAAAAAGTAAGCCATTTCTTTAATCCTTACAAGGAAGTAACATGGGAATCAAACTGGTAGGGGGGGTATTATTATTTCCTTGTTCTTGTTATCTTATTAAAACCAACTAATTTGCCAGCAATCAATTATTTAGCAATCAATTATGCAGTGGGTTACTGCCTGATTCAGGGTATTTAATAAAAGCCAATTTGATTTTTAAACTAAAGTCTGAACTTAGGGCCTCTACCACTTGAGCCATATCCCCTAAGCCTTTTGGCCTAAGTTATCTTTCAGATAGGATCTTGCACTTTTGTCCGTGACCAATCATAGCTCCTCTACTTCTGGCTTGTGTTTTTGGTGATCAATTGGACATAAGTCTCATGGACTTTCCTACACAGTTGGCTCTGAACTGTAATCCTAAGGATCTCAGCCTCTTGGTAGCTAAGATTACAAGGCATGAGTCACCAGCACCCCATCACATTGAAGGCAAATGGCTTCTGGGTTTGAGGCACAGTGGTCAAAACACATCTTGCCTCCATTCTTTGCCCTCATCCTCTATATTTCAGCTTAAAAGTTGCCTCCCAGAAAAGGAGAAAATAGACTGCACCTTGGGGGTTGAGGATCTCCTAAAACTGAAGGGGTCCCCTTGTTTTGCTCACAGAACTCTTCCTTAACACTTACTATTTGTAATTATGGACTTATGGTTTGTTTGATGACTATCTCCCTTCCTGAATTTAAACTCTATCTTAGGAGGGGCCATGTGTAACTCTGTTCACCCCCTTGTAAATGTAGCACCTATAAATCTGCTTGGAACCTATTAACAATTTTTTTTGGGGGGGTCCGGTTGTGGGGCCTGAATTCTGAGCCTGGGCACTGTCCCTCAGCTCTTCAGCTCAAGACTAGCGCTCTACTATTTGAGCCACAGCGCCACTTCCGGCTTTTTTTCTGCTTATGTGGTGCTGAGGAATCGAACCCAGGGCCTCATGCATGCAAGGCAAGCACTCTACCACTGAGTCACCTTCCCAGCCCACAACTTTAATTTTTTTTTAATCTTTTTTTTTGGGGGGGAGGGTCAGTCGTGGGCCTTGAACTCTGGGCCTGAGCACTGTCCCTCAGCTCTTCAGCTCAAGACTAGAGCTCTACCACTTGAGCTACAGTGCCACTTCTGGTTTTCTGGTGGTTCATTGGAGATAAGAGTTTCAAGGACTTTCCTGTCTGGACTGGATTTGAACAGCGATTCTCAGATCTCAGCCTCCTGATTAGCTAGGATTACAGGTGTGAGCCACCGGCGCCCAACCAACTTTAGTATTTATTTGTTGAAAAAAGCAAATGAATATTAGCTGATAACTTCCTTCATTAAAAAGTATAATCTAAACAGGGCACCAGTTTAGAGACTCATGTCTTTAATCCTAGCTACTCGAGAGGCTGAGATCTGGTTCAAAGCCAGTCCAGGCTGGAAAGTCTATGAGACTGTTTTCTCCAATTAATCATCAGAAAACCAGACGTGGTACTGTGGCTCAAAGTGGTAGAGCACCAGCCTTGAGCAAAAGAGCTCAGGGACAGCACCTAAGCCCCAAGTTCAAGCCCTGAGACCTACTAAAAAAAAAAAAAAAAAGATTTTCAGCAAGGCGCCTATAATCCTAGCTTGAGCTAAAGACCTCAGGGACAGGGCCCAGATCCAAATTTCAAGCCCCATGACCAACAACAACCAAAACAAAACAAAACAAAAGTTACATATATATACATATGTATATATATATATATAATACGTAATTATATATATATAGTCTTGCTTAAAAAACAGAAAAACATGAAAAAACAATCTTGAATGTGTACTGGGATCAGATCACATACAGTTTCATATTTTTTCACTCTAGGAGCAATATATTTCCCATGACATAAGACACCATATCACTGAGTAATTTTCTTCTCCATCACCCACCACAATGTTACATTTTTAGGTTAATGTCTTCAACTAGATGGAAATCTCAGAAATGTACACAAATAGCAGGACACTAGAACTGTTCACAAAGTACTGGGACACTTGACTAGATTTCTATTATCTAAAGATATTCTGTCATTGAAACAAATGTCTTTACAACTAAGAGTGGGAAAACCAAAGAATTTCCTATCGGCAATAAATTAAGTGAGCCTGTTTCACTTCTGGAAAGTATGCATTTAAAAATCAGTCAGCCAGCCGGGCGCTGGTGGCTCACGCCTGTAATCCTAGCTACTCAGGAGGCTAAGAGCTGAGGATCGCGGTTCAAAGCCAGCCCGGGCAGGAGAGACCGTGAGACTCTTATCTCCAATAAACCACCAGAAAAACCGGAAGTGGTGCTGTAGCTCAAGTGGTAGAGCGCTCGCCTTGAGCTGAAGAGCTGAGGGACAGCGCTCAGGCCCAGAGTTCAAGCCCCATGACCGACCAAAAAAAAAAATCAGTCAGCCAGGAGTTGGTGGCTCACAACTGTAATCCTAGCAACCGAGGAGGCAAAGATCTGAGAATCACAATTGAAAGCAAGCCCAGGTAAGCAAAGTACATGAGGTTCTTACCTCCAACCAAACACCAAAAAGTCTTACGTAGATCTGCCATTCAAATGACAGAGCACCATCTGAATAAAATGCTAAGGAGACGGTATCCAGGACCTGAGTTCAAGCCCAACTACTAGTGCATGTGTGTGCCCCACCACACACAAAATCTTTCTTTTTTTTTAAAATTTTATTGTCAAGGTGATGTACAGAGGGGTTTACAGTTACACAGTAAGGTAGTGAGCATATTTCTTGTCGAACTTGTTACCCCTTCCCTCATTTTTCTCCCTCTTTCCCTACTCCCATGCCCCTGCAAGTTGTACAGATCATTTCCAACACAGTGTCTTGTATCACTGTTGTATTGGTTCCCTTTGTTCTCTGTCTCACCATTTTTTTGTTCCCCTTCCCTTCCCTAATTCAAACAAACATATATATAATACGATACCTAGAGTACTTCAGTAGAAGAATGGATAAAGAAAATGTGATATATATATATATACACACACACACACACACACACACATATATATATACATATACTTACATACAATGGAATTCTATGCTTCCATCAGAAAGAATGACACTGCCCCATTTATAAGGAAATGGAGGACAGGGGGAGGATGGGAAGGGGAAATAAAGCAGGAGGCTACAATGCTTGATAAGAAATGTACTCATTATCTTGCCCAAGTAATTGTAACCCCTCTGTACAGTATTTTCACAATTTAAAAAAAAAAAAAGGAAATGGAGGGACTTGGGGGAAAAAAAATCATATTAAGTGAACTAAGCCAGACCCAAAGACCCATGGCTTCTCTTATTTGTAATAATTAGTATACGTCTAGAACAATCTTAGCAGATGAGCAGAATAGCTCAATAGCTAAGTACATAACCACATAGGATGATGTTAAGTGAAATGAACTCCAAGATATAGACACAGACATTTTCCTTTGTTGTGTTGTTGTTGTTAATGTACTATGGGATTTCTTTTTTCTTTTGTGTTTTCCCCCTATGGTTTATCCCGTTGTCACAAAATCTTTCAAGGAATGAAAACATCTTGAATTTTGGTTATAAACCCAATATGCACACTTGATGAGCATTTTTGTGATTCATTTATCTCTATCAATCAGAACATTAAGAGGTTATATCAAAGACTTTAATACAGCTGCTATTAGAAATTACTTGGTCCTCGGTTAAAATTGTTTTAAGAAATGAGGGCATAAGGGAGACAGAGTAGGAAAGAGTACATCACATACATATATATACATATATATAACTAATAAATGCTAATGAAAAATCTTTTAAAAAGAAACTACTTGGTCTCTTAGAAAAACAAGAAAAAAAAATCTGCCTACCACTAAGGTCAACTTCTCTTTTTCATGAATACACACACACACACACACACACACACACACACACACACACACACACACACACACACGGACAATGAAGAAAGCTATTTGTCAAAGTAAACTAAATATCTCCTATACACCATTCAAAATGTTATCCCCTCAAATCAAACCATCACACCATACCAATTCGCTATACTTCAAAACAAAGCTAAGCCAAGCCAAGCCAAGCCAAGCCAAGCAAAATAAAATAAAATAAACAAAAATAAACAAAACACATGTCACAGATAGCACCTATTAAGCTCTTTCCACTTTGTGGTTTGCCAGTGAAGAAGTCAAAGGATGATGCTGAAAGCTATTTTAAACTTCTAGGGAAACAGTGATATTCAGTACCAGATGTATTCCATGAACAGTAAGTTCCAGGCAGTTCAAAATTTCAACATTGGATAGTGTTCTGTTCTTTTCAATGCTGTTAAATCTTTGAAACAGAAGATTTTATGCTGTTGCTATTATAAAAAACAAGAAATTGGAATGGCTGTGACTAATTTCATCTGAAACAGGGAGAAGTGGTATAATGCCCAATGGCTGTACATAAGCCATCTGTTAGTAACTGCATTTCCAACTTACTTATTCCAACATATTTTTTATGAACTATTTTCTTTCAAAAACCAAAGCCAAAAATAAAAGTTCTGTTTGCTAAGTTGTTAGATCAAAACAGAATTTCTCTGTATCCAGAAGCTGCTTGAAAAAGAACTCTACATGCATTATATGCAGATTGAGAAAAAAATAGAAATATTAAAGACACTATGAACCAAGAAAGCTTAGAAACTTTTTCCCTAGATGGAGTCCACTAATTGAAACAATTGACCATATAATTTTCACCAAATACTTACTAAATGCTTAATGGTATACAGCATATATGATTACTCACTACCTATCTGAATCAGATCAAGACATGAAAAGCTTTATATTTCACAAAGTTTAAAGATCCCGAAACTTTCACTTAACATTTTGTGATCAAAATGGTAAGTCAACACAAAATTTCAAACAATAAGATTTTGAATAATTTCTGCATTAATACCTGAATGTGAGCTCTCAAGGGTAGTGTCTGATGATTTGCAATCTGGAAATGAAGGAATTGCTTCTAATTGTGGAACATAGTACATCTTCTGACTACCAGCTGGCTTGTATGGCAATAGTACAGGCTGACCTAAGGGGGTAAAGATCAAAACAATTCATAAGACAGCTGTTAATTTATTGATTACATATTGATTAACATCATGTGCCAGGAAATGTTTACATTTCTCAGGGCACATAAATGACCTCAACTGAAATCTACCTTTGCTTTTAAGAGGAACCGGAATGCTAGAGGCAGAAGATATACAACACATCAATAAACAAGCAAATTAGATGTTATTGTAATAAATTATAAATGGCATACTAAAAACAAACAAACAAACAAAATACTGTAATAGATTAGGAATACATGAGAAATCCCAGGAGGAAGCAATTAAAGATTATAAGTGTTAGCCTGTTTTTAAGTTATTGCATACTATCTGCATTTTTACAAAAATCATTAAAGTAGTATAAATTTCACATGTTACTCTACCAGAAGTTAAGATACTCTTGTCATAACTATGTAAATAAAAGATGGGTAGAATAATCATCTAGATCCTAATGCTTGGATTAAAAGTAGATTTAATAACAAGAAAATCAGTGACAACTTTCTAAGGTAATTACATGCAAAATTTGGTACAACGACCCTTACAATCTGCACCATGTGAAGGACTAATCTGTTGCACTGAAGATGATGAAGAAAACTTCACAGGAACTGTGGGTGGCTTTGAGGTACTGGGTTCTTCACAGTCGCCAGCATTAATAAAAATCTCAGATGAAAACATGGTCTTTTCTGGACTTTCTGTTGTTATCTGAGTGACAGCATCAGATGATAATTTGCCAGAGGAGGCTGAAAAATGAGGCTTACTCTGTTCTCGTGAACTGAAAAGAGAAGAGATGGCAGATCATATCCTTGGTCATAAATATTTTGCAAACACAGCAATCTCAAATGTTCTTAAGGTATTTCCACAATACCCTTCATTTTCTTAGGAACACATTAATAAGTGGTCATGTGTTTACTTTTGTAATGCATTATATACTTTAACTTGGGAAACAGTACTTTTAGTTTTTTAATTATTAGATGGCCACTATGAAGTAAAAGACAGGGGTAAATGCCTGGAGTGTTCAAAAAATAAAAAAAGTAATAGTCTTCTCTCAAGGGAAACCAGAAGCTCTCAAATTTATATATATAAATCAAGAGTCAATAAATGGTCAAAATAGATACTAGCTATCAAATTTGTATAAAGATGATAAAGAACTTACAGTAAATGAGAACAGAGCAATAAATGGTCAAAATAAATAACTAAGGAGTAAATGCAATTTTTTCTTTAAAAGAATACTGAATAACACAAGTAGACACCTTCCTACCAAAAGTGGTCCTGCTTAATCTTCACCTACCTCCTTGAACTTAGGCTGGAATTAATTGATTTCAAGGAATATTGTGTAAGAAGGGAGAAACAGTAACTTCATAGTGGAGAAAACTGGAAAACACTACTTTATCTAAGTGATGAAGGCTGACATCACCAAGGAGGACTTGTTGATATCATATTTCCTATATGATGTAAAAGGAGCACTTGGGCTGTGATATTATTTCCCTGAACCTGAGACCTGCCAAAACCAAATTTAAGAACTATCTAGAAAATACCTAACACTACATTATGCAAGGTTATGAAAAGAAAGGAATGACTGACAACTGTTTTAGTCTGTTTGCACTGCTATAACAAATGCTACAGTCTGTACAGTATTTATTATCTATAACAGAAATTTACTGTTCACATTTCTGGAGCATGGGACATACAAGATCAAAGCACTGGCAGATTTTATGTCTGATAAAGGCTCTCTTTCTGGTTCACAGATGGTGTCTTTTCTTCATGTTCCCATATATACAAGAGACTACATAGCTAATTTAAATCTCTTTCCTCGTTCATAAGGGTATAAATCCCCTTCATGAGGGACTCACTTTCATGACCTCATCCCCTTCTAAAGACTACATCTCCAAATTTCATCATAATAGGGATTATATTTGGGCATATGAATTTTGGAGACACAAATATTTAGAGCATTGCATTCTGTCCCTGCCCATCAAAATTCAGGCCTTCTTACATACAAAAATCCATTCATTATATCCTAAAGCCTTAATTCACTGCAGCAAAGAATAAAATCAAGTCTAGAGCATTGTCTTAATCAGATATGAATCGATTCAAGTTATAATCCACTTAAGGCAAGTACTCCCCAGATGTAAACCTGTGAAGTTAAGCCCATTATGTGCTTCCAAAAGACAATGGTAGGACAAACAAGCACAGGATATACATTCTCATTCCAATAGGAAAAAATGAAAGGGAGAGGTGAGAAGGAATGAGTCCCAAGAAAGTCCCAAACCCTAATTCTCAAGAATGGCCCTAACTAAAGGGTTTGCACTAGAGTGAAAGTTCATGCCTTCTGGACCCACAGCTTTGAACAATCTTGCCTCTAATGCAGAGTTTTGTGGTTGATCTACTTCCCTGATGACTCAATGAGCAACTCTTGTGGGCTGGAATTATACCCAGGTGGCACTATTCTGGTACCTTGGGACAGCCTTGTCCTCATGACTGCTAAACAATGCCTGCAGTGGTTCTCCCTATGGCCTTGCTCTCACAGTGACTTACCTGGGCTCTATGGCTCTCTACAGCATTTGTACCCCTACAACGTTGCTGGGAGCAGCACATGCAATACTCACACCTCAAAGCCACACCTCCAAGATGCATCAAAATTGACCTTGACTGTTGATAAGCAGCAATTAATATAGGCCTTTTCTAGCGTGTTTCTAAAAAAACTCTTCAGGCTTCTCTCCATTACAAACTTTCAAAGCCACTTCCACATTAACAGGTATTTGCTATAGCAGCACCCCCAATTTCTTGCCTTAGTCTATTCAGGCTGCTAAGAGAGTATCACATGCCGGATGACATATAAACAATAAAATTTACTACACATAGTTCTAAAGCAGGGTACTGGTACATTTTATGCTCTCTGCTTCACAGGGCAAAAAGGATTTGTAGCTCTCTGAAGTCCTCTTATAAGATACTAATCTCATTCAAAAGAGATCCACCGTTATGATCTAATTATCTCCCAAAGATCCCTTCTATTCAATAGTTAACTTTAGGAGGATACAAACATTTATACTAAAGCAATAACTAACAAAATTGAAGGTATTGGATTGGGTCATGGAACAAATATGGACATTAATAGGAACTGTAATAGATAGATGCAAATAGACTCCACAAATGGGACTGCGTCAAAAAAATTTCTGCACAGCAAAGGACATAAGCTAAAAAGATAGCACACAGAATGGGAAAAAAAATCTTTACCAGCTTATACACCTAACAAGTCCTAATATCCAGAATATATAAGGAGCCTAAGAAACTAAACCCCCTAAAAAATCATAACTCCATTAATAAAAGGGCAAAGGAGCTAAACAGAGACTTTTCACATAATAATGGCCAGTAAACACCTGAGGAAATGCCACACACTGGCCATACAAGAAATGTAAATCAACACAACATTAAGATTTTATCCCATCACAGTAAGATTGGCATCATCCAGAATATAAACATTAACAAATGCTAGCAGAGATATGGGGAAAAAGAAACCCTACACTGTTAGTGGGAATGTAAACTAGTGAAACCACTCTGGAAGAAAGTTTGGAGATTCCTCAAAAAACTAAACTATCCCTATTCCAGGGATACCACTCTTGGCATGTACTCAAAGTATTACAGGTCAGGATTTAGTAAACACATTTGCACATCCATGTTCACTGCTGCTGTATAGAAACAGCCCAGATGCTCAAAGGTGGATGAGTGGATCAAGAAAAGGTACATATATACAATGGAAATTTACTCATCTATTAGAATAATATGACATTTTCAGGGAAACAGAAAGACAGAAAAAAGTAGGTTAAGTGAAGCAAGTCAGGTTCAGAGGGACAAATGGCACATTATTTTCTCTCTTACATGAAAGCTAGATCTAAAATACAAACATAAAATACAAACATATATACATGTATATAGACTCAAACTGACTATCCATATACTTAAGAGAGTAGTCCAAAGACCCAAATTGTTTAACAAAATGAATACCAGGAAGCTGAACCATGTTTGGGAAGATATAAAGGAGGGTACATGAATGGAGGATACAATGATGAGCAAATGCAGTCATTATATACAATCTACATTATGTAAATACTGAAGTACGTAACTTAAGAGTAGGGGGAGGGATTGGGGAAAATAATGAAAGGGGTGACATTAATCAAGATGCACTATACTGATAACCTGATGTATAGAATTGTAATCGCTTTGTACTACTACTTAATAATGAAATTGTAAGAAAATGTAAGCTGTTAACACTGGATAAGCTGGGGGAAGGCTGTAAGAAACTTTATTTTTAATTAACAAATTAATAATTAAGTTATACCAGTACCAGGACTTGAACTCAGGGTCTTGGCTTTCTTGTTCACAACTGGCACTTAAGCTACCACTTAAGCCACATCTCCAGCCCAGCTTTTTCCTTTTCTGTTCCTGCCAGCTTAGAACCACAATCCTCTCAGTCTCAGTCTCCTTAGTTAAGATTACAGGTGTCAGCCAGCAGTGCCTATCAATGGCTATTTCTGAAAATGAGTCTATGTTCCATTACATGGCAACAGTTCTAACACAAACTAGCTCTTCTGTCTAAAAACTACATTTACCAAAATAAAAGAATAAAATTACTATATTTGAAGTTTCCTGAGAGAAGAGGCTAAATACTTAATCCCTGAGGGAGAAGTTCAAAGGTAAGGAACTAAACACCCATCAGATTCTCAATCAAAAGTCAAAAGAAAGGTTAACACTGTCCAAAAGAAAGAAATGTATTTATTGCCTGACTTATGAAATGGTAGCCCCTCTGTACAACATTAATAGTAACAATAAAATTATTTTTTAAGCCAAAAGGACCACCATTCAAGAAAGGGGCTGGGTTAGAAATAGTAAAATTATTTACAAATCTTACAATGCTTAAGAAATAGATTTCCATTGAAAAAGTGTAACTGGAGCAAATACGTAGCATATATTCTAAGACAATAAGGATGGAGAAACTAAAAAGCTGAATTCCAAATAGCTGAAGGGTTCATAGTAATTACTGAAGAATCAAAAACTTATGAAGCAGGAATTATGAGAAAATCAGACAAGAAAAGGGTACTCCAAAAAAATGAAGATCCTGAGACCTTTCCTTCAGAATCATGAAAGGACTTTAAAGTCATTATGAGCTTGCAGTTTTATCTATCTCCTACCCTAAATTCTCCCTATTTAACTTGAAACCAGTGTCAGTACCTCTAAAGATAGCTAAAGATGTCCTGAAGTGCTGCGGGAGTTGCAGGGGGGTGGGGGTAGGAACGTGCCTGTGTAGCCTTTCTTTGCCCTTTATTGTTTCTCTTTATTTTGCATGTGGAAGCAAATAGATAACATGGGACACATGGATTTGGGTTGAGGTCTAAAAACTTGGCAAGCACAAGACTTCAGTCACATACAATAACCTTGAATATAATCTTTCTATAGAAGGATGAACTGCTACATGGAATCTGAAAGAACTGAGACTCTCAAGAGAACAGAGAAACTGAGTGCCTCAGTTCTCCAACACTAGTAAGAACTCAGTGCAATCACTAGTTCATCCCACTATCAGGCATATTAGGGAAAAATTTTGAAAGGTGCCACGTGTACCACAGGAGACACAAACAGGTAGACCTGTGGGGCAATTGACCCACAGACTAAATAAAGAACACTGTGCAGTCAACAACAGCTTCCAGTAAACAAAGAAAGGAAGCCTAAGATAGGAATAGCACAAAAGGGGATAACTGATCCTTGACCAGTCCACTCTTA